ATTGAAAATGAAAGTTATATTTAGGTCATTAAAAACATAGGAACATGTATCTAGTGTCTTGGAAATCTGCTAAATGTCTTCAGTCAGACAAGGGTTAGAGCAAAGCAAAATAGTACTTTATTAAAATAATCCTGTTAGGCTGACTTATATTTCACATATGGTCCGGCGCAACCATCGTGCGTCACATACCCCTCGTCGTGGCTTCGCGTCGTTAACTGCGCGTCGTAACGACGGAAACTGATTGGTTGGCTTGGTAACGATGCTGAGTGTGGGCAGTGCTGAGAGCCATGAGCTGATGGAGTGATTTGTTTCCAAGTGTCGAGTCCTGTAAAGGAGCTCTAGATGGAAACTTTTGTTTTGTGTTTGTCTTATAGTTAAGGTTGTTGCAAGTCCGCCGGTTCCCGCCTCTGAGTGAGCTACTTGTAGTGTTCAGAAAAAACAAAACACCCACGAAACCCAAAACAGAAGAACAAAAAAACCTACTGCCAGCTAGCGTTTCGGAAATGTTATCGAAGAGCAACACAAACAGCACGCAGAAGTATAAATGCACATCTATGCTCAAGGCATGTGGGTCACAATGATGGTTCAATGCAGAAGTATAAACCAGCCTTAACGCGCACATGCACACAAAGTGAATGTGTAAGAGACTGTGTCTTTTCAACTGACTGTTTTCTACCCATCAGTGCACGTACACTCACATTTGTGTTAAACTCCAGGAAAGATACTTTTCTGCTGGGAAAGAAAAGATCTTGTTGTGGTTTTTTAACTCCTGACTAGGAGTGCTACAATGTATCCGGCTTTGGCATTGGCCAGTACCAAACTGCTTCTATTAAAAATTTCCATTACACTACATAGGAATTATTTTTTACACTAATACAGATTGTTTGCTGAGGGTTATTACTATTATGTTATTTTATGGTATTTTTGAAATCTTTATCCTGCAATGTTCTCATTTTGTGGTAAAAAAATAAAAAATAAAAAGAACATTTCTATAAAAAAAAACTACAACTGTAAAAGTAACTGCAAAGTATCATTAGGGATCGTTTTGCATAATATGTTTTTACATTATTTCAAAAGGAAACCCCACAACATTCTGGAAATGTTTTATTATTTATTTATTTTTTTTTTTTTTTTACAAAACATCTGTAGAAAGACCATTCGGGAAGTATTGGGTCAGATAAAAATAACTTGCAGGCAATGTTATGGGAACATACTTCTATGGTTGCAGAATAATGTTTTATATTTCAATTATAAATGTAGATTTATATGATTATCATTACATAGTTTGACTAATTTTGTTATATAGAGTGCTCAGCATATACAAGTACCCCCCTTTATAAATCAATCTTTTAAATTCATATTTTTAATAGAAAGCTATACAATATTATATTTGTGCTTATAAATTAAATTAGTCAGTACTGAAGCCAAATCTGGAGCTAATCTAACAAAATAACTTAAGACAAAGGTCCAAAGTCTAGTACACCTAAATTTATGTTATAGAAAAATGTTAAATACAAATTTAAAAAAGAGGAAAAATCAAAATAAATTTTTATTTAAATGAAATTTTGTAGGTTTTAATTTATTTTTGTAAAATTTAGCTTGAATTTAATTTAATTATATTTCAATCTCCCAATATGTTTGGTGACTAAAACATTTTTTATTAAAGGATCAATAAATAAAAAATAATATTAAAAAATAATAAATCTGTTTTGTTCAAACGCACCATAATGCATTGCCTATATTCACTTAGAAATAAATAAAAATATTCATTTTTAAAATGGAGGGTACTCAATTATGCTGAGCACTGTATATATTAAATGCTCTTACACTAATTTCAGTCAAGTAAATTATCATATCATTTAGAAACTTAATTCTTATTCTAAGAATGATGTTTAATTTTTATTAAAAAAAATAATTTGAAAAGATTTCTAGAAATGTTATCTTAAGGTTACTTGAAAATAATTACCATGGAAAGGGCAAGGGTAATATGTATATATACTAATAGAGATCATTCCCTAGCTGTTATAAACCCACCCCAACTGAGCCTGGTATCTCCCAACTGAGCCTGGTTTCTCTCAAGGTTTTTTTTTTTTTCTTTCACTTTTGTCAATTGGTGAAGTTTGTTCCTTGCCACTGGCTTCCTTGGTTTTGGACTTGTGGAGCTGCTCATCGATGGATTTGCTCTTTAGTGTTTGGACTTTCAGCAGTGAAATTTAAACTACACTAAACTGAACTCTGAAAACTGGACTGACGCAGTTTTAATTTTCTAGAACTTCTATGTTAAGCTGTTTTGACACTTCTACTTCTACTTTGTAAAAGCGCTATAGAAAGAAACATGAATTGAATTGTTATTATTAGTTTATTTAGTTGTTTTTAAACAATCAGGTAGCAAATTTTTTATTTTAATTTTTTTATTTTATTTATTTATTTTTTTTTATTCAAATAAATAAAAACAAATTTTAAATCCTAAAATTGTACTATTGGATTCTCAAAAAATAACAAAATGCTAATGCTAGTGGAATGTATCTGTACTGGACTGGACTAGTCAATTAGCCGTTTAGAGAGATTCATTTTAAATGTTAATTAAATAATTCACGCACATCCCCTTGTTTCTAGTAGACTCCAGCATTCTGAATGAATGTGCTGCGGTGAATATTTGGTAGTGATTTTCACGTGAAACGAGAAAGGCCTCAGAGTATTGTTTTGACGCTGAATGAATGGAGCGGCTCTGAAAGGAGTTGGGCCTGATTTTATCCATTAGCAGATGCTCTGTTGTGGAGAATGGCTTGGCTAATGAAGTCTCTGTGTCTTGTCTCGGCGTGTGCGGGTTTGGATTATGAATGAACGGAGAGAGGCAGACGCGCGGGGACACGCTCCATGCATTATTCAGCGTTCATAATCTTCTTTCATGCTCCTGTTAGGATGGACTTCACGTGTTCTGCGCTTTGTTTATGCTGGGGCTGGCGGTTAATTGTCGTACAAATAATTGGGAATTTTGCCTTAACGTTATTTTTTTTGTCTTATGTCGAGTATGACTTAATACTGTCGACTCATGGTCACAGTCAATATTGTGTCAGAATGTTGTAATGTTAAAATGTAAGAATTAACATAAATTGCTTAGACGAAATAATGGATATTATTAAAAAATTTGTTGCATTTTTTTTAATTATTATTTGTATTTGTATGTAGCTTTTTGAACTGCGTTTCTCAATAATAAGTTCAAGTCAGCAGTAAAAATTGTGTATGTATTAATTTTATTTTTAGGCTAAGCAGTTATTTGTTTACTTAGAAACTGTAGAAAATCAATTACTAACTACTTTTTTTGACTGTTTTGATTGTTAATATATTGGAAAATTGGGATAATAGATCAGTTCCGTTCGGATTATTTTTGTTTTCTCATTATTTTGTTATTTAGTGGTTTTCCTTATCAGTTTTCAAAATTGTTTCTGTTTTGATGACCATTTAAATGTTGAGCCTTTTTACATATGACCAACGATCTGTAAGTTTCTGTTTGCAATTGTGTTTTTTTCCCCTTAGTTCTTCCTTTGATTTGTTGTTTTGTTAGCATTGTTTAATAGCAATTAAAGTATCCTTTCACTTTGTAGTGAGCTTTATCGTTTTCTTTAAAGTATTCATTGAATCATTCTCCTAAATTTCGCAATGACATAACAAATACACAAAATATAACATCACAATTTCGCAAATCATGCAATTAAAAGAAAATGGTTTCTCAAACAATACACATTGAAACTTTGAAGCAGGAAATATGAAATACTATTTTTTAAAATGGCAACAGTTATCCTTGTGGTCGGTTACGTGACAACTTTTTTAGCTAAAAAACAGGAAACACTTTACGTTTACTTCACTATACGTTTTGCCTGTTCCTTCACAAAACTATGATCTTTTTTGGGATTAAAAACGCACACATTTAAAAAAAAGTTATAAAGTTGACATTGTCGGCTGAAAGTCTTTTGAAAACAATAATGTTATATGCATGTTCAGTAAAAAGTAGATTAACGACAAGTGCAAACAAACATACACAACAATAGTTGAGTACGTGGTATTATTGTTGCTCAAGTGTTTCGTAACGATTCATCTGTACATCATCATTTCCTTTCAAGTTTGATACAAGTAATCTACTGAGTGTTACAGAACAGTACGGTATGGGTCGCTTTGATCAGGCTTGCGTTTCTACTGCCAAAAGGGTATCATTGAGTTTAGATGGCCTTGTAAACAACTACAGGGCACAGGGTAGATTCTACGTGGCTTAGTGGCTGTTTATCAAGACCATCGCTTGTTATTATATGTATATATTATTACGGTGTAATGTCTCGGCTGGGTATTTAAAAATGGTGCTTTATTTGTTTTCATTCTCCTAGATTGTGCACAAGCTAGTGATGTATCTCTGTGAACCAATAGCGTTCAGTTGTGCGTCTTGCTCTGCCTTTGGGTGTTGTGCTTAGTGCCCTTCCAAAAGGGTACCCAAAAAGTGGTACGGTATGGTTCACTTTTTGGTACCTTTTGACTGTGAAAACAGCCATAAAAGCGTACCATAACGTACTGTTTCGTAACACTCAGAAGAAACGCCCCATAAGGTAATCATGCCAAACATTTGTCTGGCATGCGTAATACAGCACTTTTGGCCCTTTTTGGAGATCTTTGGAAATTTTGTCTAGAAGTGAATCTTTGTTTTTGTCTACACTGTTGTAGTGTAAATGTAGCCTTTATCTAGAAATGGTATGGACAATTTTGGTCCTGGAGGGCTGATGTCCCTCAGAGTTTAGCTCTTACCCTAATCAAACACACCTTCCTGTAGCTTTCTAGTGATCTTGAAGAAAGTGATTAGCTTGTTCACATTTGTTTGAATAATGTTGGAGCAAAGCTCTGCAGGACACCAGCCCTCCACGACCAAGTGTTCCCATCCCTGATCTAGAACTTTTTGAAATGACTGAATAAACATATTCAGATGCTAACAGCCATCTTTTTTCTTGTCTTTTCAGTTTGCCCCAGCACAGACATCCGCAACATCGCCACCAACCTGCGGGTTTTGGAGAACTGCACTGTAATCGAAGGCCACCTGAAGATCCTGCTCATGTTCAAGACCACGCAGGAGGATTTCAGGGGCTTGAGCTTTCCGAAACTGGTCATGGTCACCGACTATCTGCTCATCTTCCGCGTCTATGGCCTGGAGAGCCTTGGCAGCCTCTTTCCAAACCTCACTGTCATCCGCGGCAGCAACCTGTTTTTCAACTACGCCCTAGTCATGTTCGAGATGATCCAGATGAAGGAAATCGGCCTCCACAGTTTGACCAACATCACGCGGGGAGCGGTGCGCATCGAGAAGAACCCAAACCTGTGCTATTTGTCCACTCTGGACTGGTCCAAGATCTTGGATTCGGTGGAGGACAATTATATCGTAGCAAACAAGGACGATTTGGAGTGTGGAAACATCTGTCCAGGCACCATCGCGGGGACGATATCCTGCAAACAGACCACCATAAACGGAAATTTTGGAGAGCGATGCTGGAACCAGAATCATTGCCAGAGAAGTGAGTTGAGTTTGTTTTTCTTTTAAAGCTGCTGTTGAAGGTTTTTTTTCTTGCGTGCTGTTTTTATTTACTATGGAAATGAGGCATTGGCTCAATGTTGAAGCAGAAACCAAAACAGCTTGACTTAGAAAGGAACCAGAAGTTTGCGTTTGGGATTCACTGTAGGCATTGTTTACTTGCTTTGTTTGATGGTATTTTGAGTGGTTACATTATAGTTGCAATGATCTTTCTGCAATTACGAAGTTGTTTTGTTTTGCTCATAATTTTCTAAAGAGTAGTGAGCTTTTTTCTTGTGAAGAATTTATATGGAGGTTTTTTTTCTAGTTGTAGTGTCTTTAATGGAAACAATGCTATTTCTTATCTCCAAAATGGGAAATTTGTGCAACTATTTTTTTCCTGGAAAACAATGAGTTTTTGGATTGGAATGAATTCGGGACTCGTGATATTTCTGATGTTCACCATATCTAGTTAAATAGTCTTTGCTGTGGCCTGTAGCGTAGTGATGTCATTTATACACTACGTCATACACAGTTTAGCTCATATGCCCAACGTGACATACTGCATGGCGGTGTCCAAATACTTTGGTTGTGTAGTGAACTCAAATGTAGTACAAACTCTAGTAGTGTAAATTTCTTAAGACTGTAAATTCACACTCCGGAGCTGAAGGTGGCGGTAATGCACCGAAACACGCAAACCACCTTAAAAATGATGTTGTTGATGTCACAACTCGCAAACATAGAAATTTAGAATGTCTGGTTGTAACCCGCATGGTTGGATTTGTTTGTAATGTGTAATTTAATAAATAATACAAGTAATTATAATTTCTAGCAACAACTGCGCACGCATGCATGTCGACGTAATGGATGTAATTGTTCTACACGCATTCGTTCATGAAATCAAAATACTACAAAACATTTGTTACGCAAGCACTCTAGCATAGACTTGACGTCAGCATACATGACGTTGACATCCATTTCGTACCATGCTACAGGCCACAGCGAGGAGTGTCTCTATCAAGTTGCATTGATTTTGATGGTAGGGTTTAATAAATTTCAGCAACTTAATGAATGTTGCATTTTTATTGAACTCTATTTGGTTGTTAACTTCTCTAAAGACTGGTATTAGTCTTTATTTAAATCTAGTATATATTTGTCTTGTGGTGTATGTATGAAGGTGTATTGAAATTGTCTAGGATTTAGGGTGCTTTCACACCTACACTTTTGTTTCGGAACGTATCTCGTTTGCCCAGTTAGCGCGGTTCATTTGGCATATGTGAACAGGGCAATCGCGCTCTGTTCCGCGCCAAAGTAATCGCTCCGAGATCGCTTGAATGAGGGGGTCTCGACTCGATTGAAACGAACCCTGGAGCGGTTCGATTGCAGTGAGAAAGCGATCCGATCCGAGCGCGGTTATGTCACAGTGTTTTATGGATATGTAATAGGCTTACGGCTATATGAAGAGAGAATTATGAGTAGGGCGGGAAGTTTCGCGACTCTCCGGATGCCCGCAAACGAGTGATGATATCCCAGTAATCTTGCGTCTCCCTCCCGGTCCTCAAATAGGCATCATCGCGCACCCTTCTCACCCCTCCCCACTGCATCTCTCCTCAGACACGTCGCGCGCGCGCACCCTGTCAATCACCACCAAACCATCACCTCTCCTGACAACTTAGCGGGACACTGCAAAATAAACCCTGACACTCTGACCAATGTAAGGAGAGTTTACTTGCACGTGACTTGTTTTAGCTCTTTTGGTCCGATTAGAAACTTTGCAGTGTGAAAGCAAACCGCTCCAAAAGCAAAGGGCAACAATGTAACATTTGTAGTCTCTGTTTCGGAACAACTGAATCGATTCACAGGTGTGAAAGCACCCTTAGTGTAAAGTGCTATATGATTTGAACGCCCACTAGGCAAAATTTATGTGATGTTTATGTTTGTGATATTAATTTTCCAGTACTATTTATATTTTGCACTAAAATGAACTAGAAATGAACTTATATAGTCTTGGGCAATGGTTTTAGCTTAGGATGTAAGATGTCATGGGTTCAAATCCCGGACGAGCCCCCATAATGTGTTTCTTTGTTGTTACAACAAACATAGAGGATTTTGTTTGGTCTTTCCATTTAACACAAGCATTTAAAGTTGCCCATTGCTTGTTGACTGATGTTGTGATCAGAATTTGAATATATTGTGTTGATTGTTTTATATTTTTTGTAGGGATTTAGGATATTTAAAATAATCACAATATATTCACAATGATTTGTTGTCGATTACGAATTTAAGCAACATGACCAAAGTACTTTTTTTCTTACGTTTTCTCTAGATTAGATGGGTATCTTTTTGACAAGTAAGTATCAAAGTGTATTACTGACTTGTAATTTAAACAGTTTGCATTGTAACTCATTATCTTGAAAAATGCCAACATATTCCTGCAGTCTGCCATTGCTGTTTTTGTAGAGATCTATTGTATTGTAAACCATCCCATAATGTCTTGCGATTTTTATTCATTTAAATAATTTCTATGTTCATGTTAGGCTGTCAGAATCACCAAGTATTTACTTACTTGATCTTTTCAGAACCTGAGTGATAGTTATATTTTGAACATTCGCTATGTAATCAATCTTACGATCTCTGTTTTTCCGGTAAATGTTTCAGCAGTGTCTTTGTCCACCTCTTATTGTTTCCTATCAGAATCTGGCCAATAAGAGCGTATCATCTAGATACATGCAGAAGGACATTGCTGCTCTCCTTCACATAGTAAACACAGGTCTCGACTGATTTGCAATTCAAAGCTGCCTTCAATGGCGAAGATGAACGGCGTGTGTTTGCGAGTGAGATGGCGTTAGTGTTTGGCTGGAGGTACATTAGAGGACAGTCTGTGCCAATACACATCTCTGCCATCGGGCTGGTTCAGCGTGTACCACGTCTGCTCACTATTCACCTCACACTCTATTCAACCTGTTTCAGCTCAAGCACCTTGTTTACTTCCACTTTGTTTTGGAGGGAAATAATACAGACAGGCTCAAGGCATTTAAAACCTTAAAAGCATTTTGATTTGATTGAGATCTTTTACTTTTTCTTCAAATAAGCACATTTGTATGTATAAAAAGGTACAATGGAAAGTTTGGATAAATCTTTTTTCTTTATGAGGAGACATTTGCATGTCATTTAAAAAAAAAAAAATGTTTCTTTAATATGTTTTTGTGTTTGAATCAAGTGCCAGATATGTTTGATAGTGTTATTAAAAGTATCAAATTTTTTGATGTAATTGGTTAATAACCCAAGTTACCAACATTGGAACGCGTATGAAACACACGTAGCAGCCAATCACAGGCATATCTGTTGAGCTGTGTTTAAGAACGTGGTCTCAATTGTTAGCAGGAACTAGATATTTGAAAATTGATCGAAAATTTCAGTACCGAATTTGTTACTTGACAACCCTAGTTCCATTGGCGATCCACTTTTGCGTTCCGCTTTTGACAACTCTAGTTCAATTCAATTCAATTCAATTCAGCTTTATTTGTATAGCGCTTTTACAATGTAGATTGTGTCAAAGCAGCTTCACATAAATGGTCATAGTAACTGGAACAGTGTGGTTCAGGTTTTAGTGTTTAATTTCAGTTCAGTTCAGTTTAGCTCAGTTCAGTTCAGTGTGATTTAATCATTACTGAGAGTTCAAACACCGAAGAGCAAATTCATCGATGCGTAGCTCTACCAATCCTGAACCATGCGAGGCAGTGGCGACAGCGGAGAGGGAAAAAAAACTTCACCTGATGGGAGTGAAGAAAAAAAACCTTGAGAACCAGACTCAGTTGGGCACGACCATTTTAATTTCTCCGCTGGCCAAAAGTCTTGTGCAGAACTTCATTCGCCGTGGTTTATGCTGGAAGATGGCCTCAATGAAGACTCGTCTGTCCCTGGAGCGTCGCTGGAATCAGACTCATGTTCTCCACTCCCCACGACCATCAGCGCAGCAGCAGCTCAGGAAATGGCCTGGTCCCGGATATGGAATCCTTGGGATCATCACGTCGCTGGTCTTGGATCCAATCAGTGACTCCGCCTAATCTGAGGACCTCGGGATGAGTATCCCCAGGTGAAAATAGAGAAAAGAGAATAATTAGCGTAGCTGCTGTTTATAGTGTATATAAGCAAGATGTAGAAGCCAGTGTGGAACCCGCTAGGTGATGCACTGAGTGTATGCTTTACTAAACAGATAGGTCTTTAATCTAGTTTTGAACTGGGATAGTGTGTCTGAGCCCCAGTTCCATTGGCGATCCACTTTTGCGTTCTGCTTTTGACAACTGTAGTTCCAACTGCGGTACACTTTTGATGACCCTAGTTCCAATTGCGTTCCACTTTTGATGACACTAGTTTCATTTGTCTTCCACTTTTGACGACCATAGTTCCATTTGCTTTCCACTTTTGATGACCCCAGTTCCATTTGCGTTCCACTTTTGACAACCCTAGTTCCATTGGCGATCCATTTGCGTTCCACTTTTGACAACTCTAGTTCCAACCGCGTTACACTTTTGACAACCTTAGTTTAATTTGCGTTACACTTTTGATGACCCTAGTTCAAATTGCGTTCCACTTTTGATGACCCTAGTTCCAATTGTGTTAAACTTTTGACAACTCTATTTCCAACTGCGTTCCACTTTTGACAACCCTAGTTCCATTGGCAATCCATTTGCGTTCCACTTTTGACAACTCTAGTTCCAACCACGTTACACTTTTGACGACCCTAGGTTCATTTGCGTTACACTTTTGATGTCCCTAGTTCCAATTGCGTTCCACTTTTGATGACACTAGTTTCATTTTTCTTCCATTTTTGACGACCATAGTTCCGTTTGCGTTAAAATTTTGACAACTCTATTTCCAACTGCATTCCACTTTTGACAACCCTAGTTCCATTGGCGATCCATTTGCGTTCCACTTTTGACAACTCTAGTTCCAACACTTTTGACAACCCTAGTTTCATTTGCGTTACACTTTTGACGACCC